CAGAGTTGCATTCAAGATCTTATCTAATTCTAAGGATAATTTTCAAGATTTCTTAAAAAAAGTTAATTATTTGTTGTACGGTTTATTAAACACATATTTAACTGAATATGTTCGTGATTTCATAATTTGGCCTAGCATTGTGAAAAAATTTTTATACAGTTAAGCAATTCCAGTTCTTAAAAAAGTATTTCATTTAGGAATTGGTTTTTAGGATCGGGTTTGATGTTAGAATTAAAAATAAGATCAGGGTGCGAATTAGAATTACCGGTAGTATGTTAAACATGTATATTAAATAAAGTAATAAATAAATAAATAAAATTTTATTGTAATAAATATGATATTATATCAATTTGCAGTATATTATTACCATAATACATATCTATCACGTGATGCAGGTACATGTACCCTTGGGTACATGTATATAATCCCTTTATGTATATATAAAAAAAATGTCCAAACCCAAAATTTTTGAACCCAAAAAAATATAAAAATCAATTACGAATCGTCTTCTTTTTTCGTCCTCCTTTTTTCCCATGGGCCATTTTCGCGAGACCTTTTACCTGAGCATCAAACTTACTAAGGTCTTCTTCATATAGTTCCAATTCTTTTTTCATAGACTTTGCCATTCTGAATTTAGGTGTATGTTTAATTAGATAATAAAACTCCACGACCTCAGCTGTAGTTTTATGTACTTTTTTACCAATTAAACCAAAATCTTTTCCATGTTCTAAATAAGAAGCGAGGAAAATTTTACGTTGATAAGATGACCATGTGGATATTATGGAAGTTTTTGAAGGAGGAACAGGATAATTGGGATTTTTGGAAGGAATAGAATTATAACCACCACAACCAATAACTCCATGAGCGTTAGTTAATGGGATACGTCTCGGTTTAGTATAAGGTGCATCAAGAGCATCAGGTATTGGCGCAGCACGCTCACGATAATATAGTTCTTTTTCATCATCTTCTGAAATAACTGATTTATGCTTTCTTAGACGCGTAGCAGGTCCGGATAAACGTCGTTTACCCAGTATTTGATCTTTAGATCGATTACTTGGTTTTGGTTTTCTAGAAGAACGACGAGGACTCGCAGGACATGGACTTGACGGCGGACTAGAGCCGACGCTACTGGCAACAGAAAAAGCAGGAGAAGGATGATGATGAAATTTTCTCGCAACTATAGCCAAAGATGCAAGAGTTGATATTGCATCTTGTTCATTAGAACCGATATCATCTTCAGCAGAACTATATGAAGCCGGACTTGATGAAAACTCACTAGGAGAAATAGGTCTCTGAGGTGAAAATTGAGCACTAAAAACGACGCGTGGTAGAGATCGTGAAGAACTAGAACTAGAAATATTATCTAAATTATTATTTCTAACATCTAAGAAATTAGGGTCTTTTCGCGTTTCCAATGATTTAGAAAGACTAGAAATTTTATTATTTTTATATAAAGGAATAGTAAAAGGGAAAGGATTTTTTGGGATTTGAGGAATTGAAAACATATGTGTATGTGTAAACTGAGAGAGTTGAGTTGAAGTCATTCAGATTTTTTTTTTTTTTTTTTTTTTATAAAACCTTACAATAATAAGAAAAAAAGTTTTTTTTTTTTAATAATAAGAATAAAAAAAAAAAAAAAAAAAGGAAAAAAAAAAGGCACACGAAAGATAAATTAAGATACACGTGTTATTGTAAGTGCCTAAGTCGAACAATCAATGATAACGTGGCGTCCCCTATAATTAGAACGATTAGGATCGAAAAATAATCTCTAGTAATAAAAAAAAGTCGTGAAACAGCCGCACCTCCTTCAAACGCAATAAAAAAATAAAAAAGAATTTTTTTTTAAGAGTCAGTATAAGTTAATAAAATAAATAAGTAAGTTGGCGTCGTGATGGAACAAGTAAGTATAGTTTTTATAACAATATAATAATAAACAAGGAGTGAAGATTAAAAGAGAATTGATGATGAGTGAAGAAAGAACATGTCTAGCAAGAGATCTTTCGAGAACGCAGGCTACTAAAAGAAAAGCATTTGAAGTAAGAAAATAAGAGGAAAAGATTAGAAGTCCGCGTTGGTAGAAGGGACGAACACAGGGGACGACAGTTAAGAATAGAAAACACGCGATAGTTGACAAAGTGACGCGAAAATAAGACAAATAGAATGGAAAAGATATAAAAACAAAAAGGTGGAAGCGTTGTCGGAGGGGCGGTTATTCAAAGAATAGCGGATTTTGAGTGGGGAGGTTAGAGCAGAACAAAAAAACAGGGTGTTTATTGTAGTCTTGTACCATACCATAAATATCACCAAAGGTTCACGAATGAGTCTATTTGGCAAACCCAGAATAAAGCCAATACCAGTCCGATGTTACACATAGTCCGATAGTATAAATCATCGAACAGATGTTCAAATACAGCAACCCCATTATCGATATATATTTTTTTTTTAATATTCCATATATTTCCAAATATTGTCCATTATGATGGGTTTCATAACGGATTATTCCTAATAAATTTTCTGCATGCAATTTTCTTTGCCCGATCCATTTCATTGTGGCATTGAAAATAAAAAAGACGTGAGACTTAATAAGAAAGAAGAGAAAGAGAAGATTAATACGTACGTACGTACGTAAAATGCACAAGGAAAATTAAGGAAATATAGAACAATATATAAAATTATTAAAAGAAATTTAGAGGAATGAATTATTAATGTTAGAAAAGCTCTTTTAAAAAGCGAGACTGAGCGCGAACAACAAGACCGAAATTTTAGGGTATGAAAGAATCCGGTTATAGAAAGATTTTCTAACCAAACAATTTCTATAAGATATTATAAATCATACATAATGAATGATATTATAATAATAAAATAATGTTATATAATGATAACGATAAATATATAATATATTATTATTATTAAATAATGTAAAAAGTTCAAACTAACCTATTGCATGGTTAAAACAGTAGTACATAAATTAATACTCCGATAAATAGCGAAACAATAACCATTTTACGCGTAAACCTGTTACGGAGTTGATACGATAACCGAACTGTTCCTAACAACTGCTGCATGGTTATGATATCATTAAAAACGCCAAGTGCACAAACAAAGCGCAGTTAACTTACGATGATTCGTGGTCTCACTGCATGTGGAAGTCATCTCACTAGTCTACCAGTCACATTAGTCACACGGACAAAGTGTGACTGGAAAGAATACCGCGCAACTTTGTCATGAGACTTCATATGAATAATCATGGCGATTATAATAATTATATCGATATCAAATATATTGTATGGTCGCGGGAATAAATAATTTTCGGACATTTATTTTTGGCAATTAATGACTAGAATAAATTTATATCTTACTGCAGCCGGAAAATTGGAAGATTGTATGATTCGGTTGTGTTGCGAGAAAAATTAATATCTATGTAACACGAGAATATTAATAAAGGAAGATTTCTAACAAGCCACACATGCATTTACAATTCCGTTCGTTTCACCATCGTGTTTCATATTAACGTCTCCCCAATAAATTATCTGTTCTCTGAAATCTCTTGATTTGCATATGCAACTTGTTGATTAATGTGATTATCTGTTACCAAATCAATTCTTCTTATTGGTAATACTTGTATTTTCTGAAAAAATTTTTACGAAATCTTTTGATTCTAAGAATGTCCAAATGTTTCTACTTGTATCTCGACCATTCTTAAGATCTAATCTTTTCTCCATATCCAATAATCTTCGTCCTCGATTTCTTTCTAAAGGTCTTTTCTAAACATTTCTCTATATTATTCTCGTGTTTTATTTTATTGATTTTATTTGTTTACAGATGTGGATGGCTCCCTCCTTTCACGTTTGAAATTCGATGTGAAAGATGCGATGAAAAACAAAGATCAATTAAAATTGAATGTCGTTCGTGTAATTATACATCTATTTTTATTTTATTTTGTTGCTCTTCGTTCTGGCTCTTTTATAATCCTTCCTTATAGGGCCTTCTTTCGGATATCACTTATGCAAGCAAATCGTCAACTTCTAAACCTTTTTTGGCTTCTGACAATGAAATTTATGAAATAATCAGTCGTGCAATTAAACGTCGTCAAGAATCTATTGATCAATTTTCTCGGGCTAATCGTTTAGATTTAGTAGAGAATGAATCTTCTGAACTACTTCTTTTGAATTCTTATTTACCTCAACAAATGTCTGTTCAAGAAATTGAACTTGAAGTTGTAAAAGTTATTGATCAATTTGATCTAGGTGATGTTGGAATTAAGGATTTGGGAAAAATATTAAAGAAATTGAATCTTGATAATGCTAGAGCTCCAAAAAAAACCGTAGTTGAAGTTGTAAAAAAAGTTTTATCATCACGAAAGACTGGTTAGCATTAAAATATATTAAAAATATTGTTCCACCAATCATTTCAATGTATATCATTGATTAACTACGTATAACCTATATATACCCAATTACGTATACCTGTTATATATCGATATCTTTAATTGCTTTAATCAAACAATTTGAGTCGAATTTTAATCGTGTAACCTAATTGCGTTTTTTAATATTATTGTTTGCACTTTAAAAACAATTTGCATCGTTCTAATTACTACTGTACTATATAGTTTAAACTGTTATCTGCTATGTACCATCCATTATCGTTATTGTTAAAAATTCAAATTTTATAAAATTTTAATATGTTGTATGTACGTACGTAGTTCAATATTATATATATTTATAACTATTTATAGTAAAAATTTTGAGAATTATAATGCATCGCCAGGGTGTAGGTTAAGAAATCAACCAAACATATGCAAATCCCGATTTTGTAATCGACCAACAAAAATCGATCACGTGTACTTAAACTATACTCCGGGTGCACTTTATTAAATTGTTTAAAAATTACAAAAAAAATTTAAATAAAAAAAATCTACAAGAAAAAACAAAGTTTACAAAAAGTCTTTACAAAAAGTTTTAAAAAAAATTACAAAAATTCTAAAAAAGATTTATATAAATTCTTTAAAAAAAATATTACTAAAGTTTTAAAAAAAGTTTACAAGAATATTTTAACAAAAGTTTTAAAGAAAGTTTATACAAAACTCTTTAAAAAATACTATTAAAAGTTATAAAAAAGTTTACAAGAATTTTTAAAAAAAAATATTAAAATTTTTAATAAAAGTTTATAAAATATTTTTTTAAAAAAATACTAAAAGTTTTAAAAAAAAATCTACAAAAATTTTTTAAAAAATATCAAAAGTTCTAATAGAAGGCTACAAGAATTCTTTAAAAAATGCTAAAAGGTTTAAAAAAAATTTAAT